ATATATATATATATATATATATATATATATATATATATATATATAGCATAATCATTGGTACAGGCAGGCTCCAGATTGGGTAGGGTTTTTCTAGATCCCTTTAGTTTTGTTTATGGTGTTTTTTGTTTTGGTCAGAGTTGGGTTTAAGAGGATCAGAGTCGGAGCGAAGCAATAATTAACCTGATTAAATGATTCTTAGACTTACCAGTTGGGGATTTATGTTGCCATAATGAGGCGAGATACTGGAACCCTGGTTGCTCTGCCTTTTCCACCTCTGATTTTATGTTGAGCATAACACAAATGAAAGAGTTGTTCCAATAAGTAGGGACAAAGGACCAGTAGAAAGATATAATGCCATATTTACATGGGAACTTGTATATTTCTTTTAGCAGTATATTTTTAATGCATGTATTATTGTTTTTTTTTTTTTTTTAAAACATAACTCCTGAGATTTGTTGACTCGCATGTTTAACTCCAGTTTGCATTGGATTAATTTCTATTTAACTTGGTAAAGCAAAGAAAGTTTGTTGCTATTTTGCGATTTTCGCAAGTAGTTGGAAACACTCTGCATATATTTTGTTTTGGTGCTGAATTTGTATTTTATTTTTTAAGTATTTGCAGCTTTTTCATTTGTTTGGGGTTTGTTTTTCCATAATTTCATTTCTGTTTTGTTTTTTTTTACAACTCCCTAAAAGTGTTTGTTTATAATTGAAATGCACTTTAAAGAATAATTATACAGAGATGAATGTTTTCGAGGCTTCATCCCATTTGTCATGATGGTTTTTATTTTACGGCTAATGAAAACACCCAGCGTTCTGATTAGAATATCACATCAGTCCAACAAGATGACAGCTCTTCAATACAGAAATGCCATCTTTATTTAAAAGCCATTTTTAAGTAATGTTTAATCTGACAAAACAGGCTAATTTGAATGCATGTTCTGCATTCTGTGGATTCTTCTATCTGCATTTCATGTCATATGGGAAGTAAAACATGCAAAGTTTATAACATTGTGTTTTAAGCCCAGTTTTATATATTTTTTTTAATTATCAAAGCACAGACTACTTTATAATGAGCACAGAACATGACATGTTGCAGAGCGAGCACATTAGCTCACATTTAAGTTCATCATTTCCTCAGTTCATCTGCTTTCAAGAACATCTCTATTGTTGCACCAAATCATTCTGATGTTATTTTTTTCTTATAGATGCAATATGGATGAACTGGACTTGAACACATAATAAAGAAAGTGAAAGAAGCTGGGGAAAAGTGAAAAATTCTTGTGGACACTTGTCACGAATATATTTTTTTGTCAACATGTCATCTCCCTCCAAGAATGAGAGAACGGTTTGTGTTCTCCTTCCCAACAAAAGCCAGCTGGATGTCACTATTGGGGTAGGTGTTTAATGAGAATCAAACCCTCCAAAGACTCTTAGTATCACATCTAGCACGGTGGTGTTTGCTGTTTTTGTCATCATAAAGTGATAAGCATTGCCTGCTAAGATGGGTAAAAAAAAAGTTTGTTTCACACGATTAAAATGTACATTTATAATGAAAAAGTTTAATAGAAGCTGCTGACTTTTAACAGAAAGGCAAGAATATCTTCCACAACTGCGAAAATAGAATACTGATTATTGTAAATATAAAAAGTAATAATATTCTCAGCTTGCTGTATATATTTAATCAAACATAGGAAATAAATACCCACTAAATACAGTAAATGCTTTTCTTATCAACAAAAAGCTGTATATCAAATTATTTGGAGCCAATCTTTTTGCACTTTCATTGGAACAACCTACTGTATGAGACACAATAACTGCTGTGTTGGTGCATTTTCTCACTGGTCACCTGTTAATTTATTCAAAAATAATTCAATAAAACTGTGACTTTCAGGAAGCTACATGCTCAAGTTTAACCCAAATATAATGAGCAACTTGAAGCCTCAAATGAATATCTAGAGAGGGTTCTAAGGTTCATCTAAAACCTGAGGATGTTTCCTTTTCATAACTGTTACAGCTCAGCTGAATAATGACCTGCCTTTGTTTTTATGATGTCTTGAAAGTTTCAGCCTCCTGCTTTTGTGAACCTTGAAATGCTTGTATATAATTATATATAAGGGCTGCAAGTAACCATTATTTTGCAAGTAGTTAATCTGTTGAAATATTTTTTCCGATTAATAATCGGATACCAAAAGGTTTATTAAAAAAGACTTTTACCATATTAAACCAGGTGGAACAAAACTTTTCCACTTGAGGAGCTCTGGATAGAACATATTGACAGACGAAAATGTTTTTATCTTAAATTGAAAACGTTCATATTTTCTAAACATTTTTGGTATAGTTACTCCTCTAAGTGGGACTCTCTGTCAGCCAAAGGCATGTTTTACAGTCTCTATACTCAAGTTAACGATTAATCGATTATTAAATTAGTTGATGAATATTTCAATTATCTATTAATACCAATTAATTGTTTCAGCCCTAATAAATACATATATATATATATATATATATATATTGAGTTTTTATTTGAAAAGGGCTGTATGAACAAATCTTTATTCATCATAATTAGTATGCATGGTGTGTAATGAGTCGACCCTTTTTACAGTTTTGATCTTTTTAGATTAAGTCATAGAAGACAGCTGTTAAAGTAATATAACGTAATATAATTTGATTGGGGAGGAGTGAAGTTGGAGTTATTTTCCTAATACCTATAAAATCAATTGTGTAAGCCTATCTCACTTTATTCCTGTTCTGACTCCCATGTAACATGTCACTGTAAGGCCACCACACCCACCATGCTGTTAGCCAAACGAAGGACAGTCGGAAAACAAAGTGTTCAGATGAAAAACTGTTTTCAGTTCAGTGCTGGTAACCTGGTGCTGATTGGACAAGGCTTATATATTTGTTTCAAGCTTTGTCCAGATTCCATAAATAATAATCAAATAGTTTTACTGATTTTCATCTTCAAACATCCCATAGAGAACAAAATAGTAGCTTTCAAAATACGCACAACAAAAACAAGTCAATAATGCAGCAAAATGGTGTACAGACAGATCCTACTACTATAGTAGTTTGCAAAAAAATTACCACTCTGCTTCATCATAAATGGTCTTCAGTCTTATGTGTGTAGGTGTTAAAATATTAAAGAAAAAAGAATGCGAAACACAGATTGAAGCAAAAAATATTTTTGCTGAAATGAGAATATAAATTTTAAACTGTAATTGCACAAACTATATTTTCTGATCTTGCAAATAGTTCCAAGCCAGTATATTTCATAGTATATTTTATGTCTAATTTTATTTATTTTTTTTTGCACCCAGAACATTTTCAAACTGCCTTATTTAACTTTAACCTGCAAAGGAAAGGTATAAGGGCCTTTCTATTAGTCTTCTAAACTTTACTGACAGTTTTAGCAACAGGTGGGAGTGGGGCAGAAAATGGACAGGCACAGAACCACCTTTAAAAGGCTGTAACTGAGGGCATAGTGTGAAGGCATTTTTTCACATCTTGAATGTGCATTAAATAAGAAATCCTTTGTTTTTTTTTCTAATTCTTTAGTTAAAGTCTACAGGACAGGAGGTTTTAAACCAAGTTGGGGAGCTTCTTGGAATTAAAGAGCTTGACTACTTTGGCCTCACTGTGCTGAGAGGTAAGTTTCCCAGTTAACACTTAACTCCCTGTGATAGTATACGCATAACAGAAGCATGATGAAATATGATGATTAACATCCTGATTTGAGCCCTTCTTATACTGTATGACAGTGATTTGCTGCAGCAGCGGTTGTTTATGTAACGTCAGAAACAACCTTTTCGCAATTAAACCGTTTTGTTCAAACAAATACCTTTCTGCCCTGCGATTGCGTAATCTAAAGTGTAATCCGGTTTAGCCGCAGACCAAAGTCCCGAACTTTCTGTTTCCAGCGTCCCTGTTTTACAAACGCGTGGAAATGCCTCGGTAATCTTTTGTGGCTCACCACTTTAACAAACACTCTTTTGTTTTTGCGGTGTTGGTTCAGCGATCACCCGGGCCTGGATTCCTGCAATATTAACTTCATTAATCCTGGAATGCACGCTTGCATTCCTCTGCTTCACTGAGGAGGATGGGTTGATGATGGGAAGGGGGGAGTGGGGGGGCGCTTGTCGTGACACAGGCCGCCTTATTCAGCTGTTACTCAAAAGGCCTCGATGAGGGAGTTGGAGTGAGTCAGGGTGGAAATGAGGAGATGGGAGCTTAAATGAGTAACTTGTGAAATAACCTGATGAGCGTGTTTTGGCAGCACACAGTTACAACAACTGAAAATGATACGGTCCAAGCCATGAGTCATAGAACCTGGATCATAAATCACTGCTTTGGTTGTTGAAGTAAATTCACTCCAATATGTCAAATCCAAATCTGGTCTTCTATCACCCTAATGACCCCCAAATAATCTAGTCAGCTTTATTATTGTTTTCTTTACATCTCGTTCTGTTTTTCTTCTGATTTTTCATTTTTCCATCTCCATACTAGATAACGAACACATATTTTTAGACATGGAAGAAAAACTGATCAAGTACTTTTCTAAGGAGTGGAGGCAAGATTCTGGAAAGGTAAGAAAGCTCATATCTGAAATAAACAATCGCTCTGGGTCTAGCCTGACAGGACAGGCAGGGACTAGAGGGATCCGTTTAAAAGGAAAGCTATTAATTCAAGCGCTTTCCGGGATGAAAAAACATCCTTATTGTATAAATTCATGATGGGAACACTGTAAGCATGAGCTAGAATGTGCTTTTTTTGGCCTGAGAGAAACATGGTGGTGGCAGTATCATGCTGTGGGAAAGCTTTCCTTCTGCAGAAAGAGGGAGGCTGGTCAGATTTGAGAGGTTGGATGGAGTTAAAAACAGGGCAATGCTATTATAAACATAGGATGAGGTTCACCTTCTAACCTCAGTCATATATAAAACACATATCAGGTATTTTAATTCATTTTCTATCTATATAATAGTTATTGTTGCCCTTTAAATACAGATTAGTAAAAAACATAGAACTTAACAAAATGGAAATAAAAAATTCTTGCATTTTTATGCATTGTAGATATTATTATTTTCCAATAAGCGTGTAAACAAACAGATAATAATCAGTTTCCTTTTTCCACAGGGTTCACTAAAGAGACCGTTTCCTTTTCTTCTCTGCCTTAAAGTGCAGTACTATGTTGAAAATGGAAGACTATTTAGGTATGTTTTACAAAAATGTTAATGATTTAACCATTATAGAGGAAATTTCCGTTTATTTTCTATTAGCTGTTTTTCCATTGTGAATTTCTGGAGCGGCTCTTTTTTGTTTTTCCGGTACCAGTGAGAGAAAGGCGCGGCATCTCTACTACTCTGACCTGCGGGAGCGAGTCCTGCGCTCTGAGTGTCGTCAGCAGGAGGAGGTGTACTTTCAGCTGGCAGGTTACGCTCTGCAGGCTGACCTCGGTGACTGCCCGATGCAGAGGGAGGGTATGGAGGTCGCTGCATATTTTGAACCCAAGAACTACTTTCCTCCATGGGTAGGTGGTACTACATGCCAGAAGCTCTTAGAACCCCAGAGCACTTGTAGTTTACAATCTATACATTTGAATCCTTTTAGCCATTTCCACATGGTTGATAAAACCTTATGATTTAGCTACATAATTTAATGTTTTGTTGGCATTTTATGTGATAAACTAACACAAAAAGTGGAGTAATTATTTAAAATGAAAATCAACGCACTGTGGCAGATTTATACGGATGGGGGGGCTCTGAATCATTTTGCCAGGCACTGTAGGTCAGCTACCTCACATGCATTTACCACTTGCAGATTATAGCTAAGCGTGGAGTCAAGTACCTTCTCTGCCACGGGCCCAAGGTTCACCAGGAGCTATGGGGCATGTCCACTCGTGATGCCATCTTCTGCTTCATCAGAGACTCGTGCCAACTAGAGGATGTGCCTGTCATATTCTACAGGCTCCAAAAGGTCAGGACACTTTATGATGTTTAAAGGTTTAATTTCAAAATTCTCAATATGATTCGAAAGTGTTTAACTTGATGTGATCATTGTACAAATCTAGGCAAGTTTGGAAAATAATATTCTTATTCATTACTGTAAATATAATAATCAGAATATTTAGAAGAAATAAAGGGCTTTGTGTTCATTTTTATGAAGGTTTCTCTTAAATGTCTTTAAGAACTTCAGAGAAATCTAGAAATGAGTCTGAGGTAGAAAATGTCAATAAATCCAGTCTGACTAAAGAGTAAAAGATACCATGCAGTGACGTGACCCCTTATCTTTTTCAACATGTAATCCTCCATATTCAGAGCAACTTATCTACCGAGTCATTTTCTGAAACCGGGCCCATTTATTGTGTAATGTACTGTAGTTTGAATTGCGTTGTTAGCATCAGCTCCCCTTCTCTCCATGACCCGGTGAGGAGGTTGAGCTGTGAAGGGGTTATCTTATCAGAGGCGCTCAGATGCCTGTCTGACATATTATCATTCTTTTCTTCAGGACAAAAAGGAGGAGAGAGGAACCGCGCTGCTTGGTCTCACCCTGCGAGGAATGCAGGTTTATCAAGTGAGTGTTATTAATGCCCAGTTTGTACATCGATGAATATGTACACAGAGTGGGATTCTGTGTTGGCTCAAAGATATTTGCCTTTGTAAGCGTGGTCCTAATAAACCCACTGACTAGCTGTGTGAGGAATGTGTGGGATGGCCACTAAGCAGTCCGTTAAGAGATAACTGCCTGCCGTGCCTGTCAGTTGTTTGATCTGTCCATCAGGGGCCGGGTGGGGGTGGGTGGGGGGGATTAGCACACCAGGCCTGACTGATTTTTAAAGCTAACAGACCGTGAGATATCTCCAGAAGCTCTTGGTCTTTATCAAGTCCAGATGGCCCCTCAAAGACAATAACTTCTTGATCACTCACTCTGAAAACCATTGAAACGGCCTCCTCATAGCCCTCATCCAACAAGCTGTCAACTAAATGTGTGTTTTGTCTTCATAGGAGGTGAACAACATACGACAGCTGCTGTATGACTTCCCTTGGTCAAATGTCGGCCGTCTAACTTTCCTGGTACAGCTTCTTGTTTCAATTCCATCTTAAGATTAAGAAAACTCTTGGTAATTATTTAATGGCCATTAGCAATTTATATTACCTTGCCTCATTCAGGGAAAGAAATTTGAGATCCAGCCAGATGGATTGCCATCAGCCAGGAAGCTGGTTTACTACACCGGCTCGTCGTTCCGTTCTCGACACCTCCTCTTGCACCTGAGCAGCAGCCATCAGGTCTACCTCACCCTGCAGCCGGCTCTCAAGCACCTGCGACAGCTGGAGGAAAGCAAAGGTAAGAGAGGAATGAAAAATAACGATTAACACTGTTTAGTAGAGCTAATGTAAAATCTTCAGTATTTAGGACCTCTACACTCTGAACTGTATTCAGCACAGGACAGTTCCCATCTCTCATGATCTATCAGCTTCGTTTCTGGTTCCTAGCTGTCAATCAACCGCCAAATTTTCCTTAATGTGTCCAAACCCAAATTTTTATAGAAACATGAAAAAGGGAAAAAAAGACGGTAAGCCTAGGTCTAGGTAAGCCTAAACACTTCCAAGGAAATACGGTTTACCTTAAAAAAAGAACACATAAGCTGTTGTCCAAATAAAATGAGATGAATTAAAGGAACAGAGACAAAGCTGATGGGATAGGTTGATGAAGTTGACATGTAATTTAATATCTATCAATAATTATATCGTATTAAATTGCATAGATAAAGTTTTATCTGTTGTGTGCTTCTCTGAGGTTGGTTTGTGGAAAGTTAAGATGTAACCAGTCGTGGAAGTTGGGTCAGATTTGATTCTTTGATTCTTTTCTGAGTCAGCCTGCAGGGAAATAGTGGAATATCATTAATAGCTGTGTTTTTGTTTTGTTTTTTTAAGCACAGAGTCTCACGTTCTTATGGCACCTTATAAAACAGATAAATGTAGTGTATTAACAAAAAATATAGTCCATTCATTCATATAAACATTTTTAATGTCAATTACAGGCACTATAAATCCATCATGGATATAAAGCAATGCAGTCTAGTGAGAGAAAGGAGCCTTTTGATCTGGTTTTCTGTGAATGACTTTGTAACAGTTTTTTTCTCCAAATTTACATTTATTGCTTCTAGCTGTTAGCTTTGAGAAATGTCTCACCCCGAGGATCCAGATGATGATGATTATGATGGAGGAGAGGAAAACACACTTTTAAACCGTAGATAAATGTCTAGTAGAACCTGAGACGGTGTGAGTGCTCATCCAGCTGGTTGGCAGAAAAAAAAAAAAAGTATAAAAACTTTGGAGTTGTACATATTTAGATTGTATACATTAGGGATAGGCCTTAGTGTTATATTTTTAATGATAGTTAGATATTACCCTTCTGGATCAGTTATACTGCCTTTATATCTAAAGTTGATCCTTCTCTTCGTAAAATAAGCCCCGCCTCTTTGTTGTTTGGTTAAATGTAAGTTTGATGATCTGCGTGCTCACCTGGACCACATTATTATTAAGATATTATTTCCAATTTCATGTACAATGCAACATGAAAACGATAATTAATATTCATCACTAACAAAGAATGAGGTACAAACAAACTTTGTATTCTATCCTACTTCCTTTCTGTGTTTGTTTGATGCAGATAGACTTTGTTAGTAAAAAGTGAAAAATCCAGCCAATGGGGGGATGCAAATATAAATATTGCAATGATTTGAATGTTTACTTTAAAGTAACCATATGCTACTGAACTTCGTCTAGAATCTACTTGGTGTTTATGGATTATGCTTCCTGTAGCAGCTGTAATGGTAATGCCCTGACTCCAGAACAGCTGATCTTTGACATAAACCTGTCATCTATGAAGAGAAGGTGTGTTTTCTCCACTGAGCTTCTTCCTGACAGGAAGGGAAACATGCCAAGCATCACTTTTGGAAGCTGATCATTCTCTCTGTAGTTTGTACCATACTGTTCCCTTCCATAGACTTTGACTCGTTCATCACTCTCAATTTAAAGCTGAAGGAAGTCTTGCATGATGGCCTGTTAGTGCATCTTGTGTGGGATCAGGAATGCAGTAGAAAACAAGGTTATCCCCAATGCTGCTTGCCTGAATATCCAGTTTGGTCTCTTCCATTTTCATGTTGTCATTGGAGGCTATCAATCTTTTGGCTAAAGTTTGTACTCTTTTCACCTCTTCCTGGCTGTCTTCTAGCGATTCCCTCAGGTTTTGTATTCCTTGTGCAAAATGTCTGAGTCAGTCTTTGCTCAAGGCTTTTAAGGTTCTGCTTGATTTTTTATTATTTTTTTCATCAAGACTCTTCTGTTTAGCCCTGCATTAGCTTGCCTATGCAGGTGGTTATCGGTGAGGAAAATGATTCATTGGTTAATATTTTAGATTGCATTTGATATTCAGCTTGTTTTTACCTGTGCTGGATGATTATCAGTGCACAGCCTTGTTACTTACACCCTCGCCAGGTCTTAGAACCTCTGTCTCCTTGGTCCCGGTCTCATGCCTGTACTTTCTAGGTTAATGAGAAATTAAATGCAGAGGGCAGCAGTTTCTTCTTTACAGGCTTTATCAAAAGAAGTTACAGCGCTAAATGTACAGTAGAAGCTCTGACCCTGAAAGAAACCTATGAAAATGTAGTAAGTCACAGCAATAGCTAGTTCATTTAATAAGAGTTTTAATTCAAATACAGGAGATCTCTGTGGAAAAGAGTATTAACTTGTCAACTTGTAGGTCACCTGATGGACCCCACTGGAAAAGTTCACAGCATGACAGAAATGCATCACTGCAAAAAAAATTTTATCCAAATAGTTGCAATTTTTCTTGAAATGAGGAGGTAAGACACTTTGCCAATGGAACAAGACAATTTCCATTTAAAATAAGATAAAATGACTGCATTGTCTTATTTCGGGTGCATATTATCTAATAATATCATTTGAAGCTTAAAATTGCTCATTCCATTTTCAAATCATCTTCTTTACCTGCTCAAATTGAGGGTTAATGCATCTAATTTAAAATATTTTTACTTATTTCTAGATTGTTTTTGCTGTGCTGGTCAGGTGACACTTTTGTGAAGAAAAAGAAAAAATTTGCTTTATAGTCACTAAAGTCCATTAATGCAGATCTTCCTAGCTGGAGAGCAGTAGTATGAAGAAGTGAAGGAAAGTGGTCCGCATGATTTCCAAAGTATAACCGCACAGCAAGCCACCTGAACTATACTGTAGGGGTTAGCAGAAAATGTTTCAATCCTAGTCTTTAACTAGGAAACAACCCTTATAAGGTTACATAAGGTATTTAAGGTCATTTTTTTATGTGTCAATTTGTCTTAATCTTCAGAGAAGAAGCGCTACAGAGAGTCCTACATAAGTGATGACCTTGATATGGACCCACCGGGCAGTGAAAGCAGCCCTGGTCTGTCTCGACGCTCCACCGGCAGCTCGGGTATTGAAGCAGATGCCCGCCAGCACAGCATCTGCACAGAGGTGACCTCCATGGGCGAAGATGGTCCACAGCACGTAGAGAAGTGTTTGAGCTCAACTACCAGCCACTACAGCTCCATGACCTCGGAGTCTGACACGGACAGTAAGGAACAAAGAGATGAGCAGCGGGGTCAACAGGAGGGAGGTGAGGATCTTTTCTTTCTAACCCGAAATGCTTAAAATGTTTGAACATGGATTTACATTCTTTTTTTTTTGTCACACTGGAATACTTCAAATCAGATGGATTTCGTTAGTGAAATCTGAATGCAGTTTTTATATGGATGTGTTCTTTATGTTGGGAGGGAAACTATCCAGATGCACGTTGGCCTCATGTGCTCCCTAAATGTTAAAAAAGGTCCTTATCACTATGGCTAAATACCAACTTAATCATCAATATTCAAAGCGCAGTGCTGTTTTTTCTGAATATTTGTTTAGAATTTGTTTTTTTTGTGCCTTAAAAAAAGACGCTTTTATATTTTGTTAGGAACATTTCTCCATGTAGGTTTAAATGTACTAACTTGATGTTTTCCATTTTGTAGAGATCAAGCCCAGTGCTGGTATTCCAGAGGAACTTCTTGTGGATGATTCTTACGAAATGTTCCAGTTGGCCGATCTTCTCGAAGGAGTGTCTGTGGATTTTCCAAAACGTTCTGCTAAGACTCCATCAGCAGGTATCCAGGCAGTGAAAAAACTGTTCAGATCCAACATTTGTAAACAGCTTTTATTCTGAAATTCGGTTTGCTTTAATTTCTGTTAAAATTGACCAATAAAATCATGTTGGCTCAACAGACAACCAAAGGCACCCGCCACATGCTGTTCAGGATGCTATATTGCCAAACAACAAAAAGGTAAAACAGGTAAAGCTTCTGGCCTAAATGATCTTTCCATCGGGTTATGTTTCGTTATCTTAACCCCCTCTCTTCTCCTTCTTTAACATGGATCCAGAAGTCCAGACCACACACTTCTACAGATAACCACAGCCACAGCCTAGACGATGTCCGTCATTGTCACCCTTCTGCACCCATTGGGATGGCCTGGCCAACTGAACCGGCCCTAAGCTACACCTTTGGGCTCCCAGACGTCCCACCAAACACAAGGACTTTGCTAGATCCCAGTTATTACCCTGATCTGCACTGCCGAGCCAAGCCCTCCTTCTCTGGCCAAAGGTCTGCTAACCGCCTGGACACTTTGAGCGATGAACAGTATGTGGAAGTTATACTCTGAGAGCCCCGCTAAACAAAACATCCAAAAGGTTTCCTTTATTTAGAGGCAGCAAAACATGAAGCATTCAATCTACTGTAAGTCTGTTTAGTGTCGCAAGGATTTTTTTTTATTGGTGGGAAATTATGGCAATTCTATTTTAAAGCTGTAACTCCAACGATGGAAACTAAAATGGTGACATTTCTGCAAATTAAATGACCATATTTATTTGTACTGTATATTTTGTAGATATTGCCCTTGTTTTATGAGCATACATTTAAATTCCACTGATTAAAAAGATATATTTTTTTTATTGTCTTTTGTAAAGACCACCAAATGAACTTTTTTTTCTTTAAAAACAATCAGTTTTTTTTTTGTTTTGTTTTTTTACGATGTGTAATTCTGTATGTTTTTTTCCTTTTTATAATTTCTTTAAACCTAATCCATGTATTCCAGTTATACATTTAACACTAGTGGGATGTAACTCACTCTCATGGCTTGTGGTCTATTATTGTAGTCGAATTTTATATTATTTTTGTAACTTGTATTTTTGTATCCTTTTATAATGTTTTGCTTTTTATGTGATTTTTGTCATGATTTTAATCTTCCACAACTATTATCTACTGCTGTGGGGGAAAAAATTAAATTTCACAGATAGCAGTTCATTCGTCCAAAGTCTCTCCAGGCTACACTGTTCTCTCTGTCTGCTGTAATTATAAGACAAATGTATTATTTGTTAAGCCGATTTCTGTAACCAGTAAGTTTGCGATAGATCTGCAGCATTATTGAGTTAAATACCTTCCCGCCCCCTGAAAGACAAAAAAGCCTTTGTCAATTTTTTTTCCCTCTGTACCATGGCACAGCATTGGTTATTTGTACAAAGTGAAGTGCTTAGCTAATATGAGCCACTTAAAAATATTTACCTATTAAATACACAGGTTAACTCAAAGCCAAATGTTGATGGAAAACTGTTTTAAATTCCAACATTTTATGCCTTACGTTGTTAAAAGCACTGCTTTTATTTTTGGATATATTTGAAAATAAATTCCTTATCATTTGATTTCTGTGTTTCTGTTTAATGCAGTTGAAGTCGACAGGAATTTTAAAAAAGGTTTTTATTTTTTTCTCACAGCATGCACTCCCTTCTTGCCCACTCCCTTTCTGCCCATAAAGGAATTATTATACAGTTGCAGGTTATACAGATATAGTCATGGAGAAAAATAATGAGACCAACAGTATTTTTTGTCAAATGTTTTTACAATAAATCCTGAAAAAAAAAATTGCAGTTTTTCACCCTTTTTGCAGAGTTAAGTAAAATCAATTAGAAATCATAAGGACATTGATTTTTTATGAAAAAAGTATAACATTTTTTTATATACATTACTATAAGATGATACTACTTCTTTATAGCTCTCATTGTTTCTTCCATAGAAAAACTATCAAAAATACTTTTATTTTACTGTTAAATGATAGACTTAGGAAGAGGATTAGCACCACTGAAAAAAAAATGTATA